GGCAAATTGCTCCCTCTGGGCACTCTCCCACGTGCCCCCTCCAGGCCAGAGAGTGGGACTTGGTGAACTGGAGCTTTTCCAAGGCATCCTAGTCTCTGTGGCAGGTGCCCTCGAGGCCAGACCATGGGACTTGATGGGCTGGGGAGTTCCCAAGTCTTCTGTTGAAGGAGCCTTTGGGTCACAATGCAGGACTTGGTGACCCAGAGCTTTTCCGTGCCATGTCTCCTGCAGGAAGCCATGGAGCCAGACAGAGGCATGGAGCAGAGACCCCCCAGCGTGCCCCAGGTGGCCTGGGTGAAGGAGGAGGAGGAGGAGGAAGGCCCTGGAGTTGCCCCAGCACAGCAGCCTGAGGAGGCAGAGCAGTCCCAGCCCCTGCAGGCGGGTGAGTGGCACAGCTGGGCCACAGGGCTGGTGGCTGCAGCCAGATGGGGCTCTTCCCATCATATTCCCTGTGGACATGGCCGGGGAAAGGGAGGGGGAAGAGGGCCCGGGACTGTTCCCCCGGCAGCTCCATGCACTGGGCATCCCGGGGCTGGCCCTGCCTGTGGAGCGCAGGGCTGGGCCGTGTTCTCCGGCCTGTCCCGCAGCCCCTCAGCTCTGACCGCGCTCGATCTTTGCCACATCCAGGCCAGGACAGCGGTGCAGACACTGACAGCAGGCCCGCTCAGAGTGGGAATGATGCTCACCCTGCAGATGTTTCTGACGAGAAAGGTGTCTCTGATGCAAAGCAAGTAAGCAGCCTGTGGCCAGGGCTCAAGCCCCCAGGGATGGTGTGGCCCCTCTAGCCAGCTCCCCTGGGCCCTCTCAGCCTTTGAGGCCAGCACAGTGTGTGGGAAGGGAAGCATTTGTCAGGGAAGCTGGGCAAGTTGGCAGCTCTTCCCCCATGCCTCTTCCAGGTGCCAGCCTTCGTCAGGAACGTGCATCAGAGACTGACAGCCAGCGCCACTCCAGAAGAGAAGCTGCTAATGGAGTTTCTGAGGGTGACTGATGAACACCCTGCTGATGCTGTGGTGACCCTCCTGCGCTGTGCCCCATCATGTGACAGGTACAGGACCCCCTGCCTTCGGGGCTTGGGGCTCACCAGCCTTTAGAGCCCATCACTCAGTCCATCCCGTCCCAGGTGGTCTGCCAGAGGGATGGAGAGTTCCAGGACCATCTGGAGCCTCTGTTTCCCAGCCCTGCCATGTCAGCCCCCATCCTGACGCCATGGTCCCTCCCTGCTCCTCAAGGCACTTTGGCCAGTGCTCCCCTGACACAGAACTCTGGCCCCACAGAGCTGCTGCCATCATGTGGAGGACCATCACCTCATTGGGAAGGACAGTGCTGAAGGTGCTGCCACAGCTGCTCTGCGTGATGGAGAACTGGCCAATCCACAGCATGTCCACCTCTGACGGGGACGAAACAGATGTCTTTGCCCTGGCTGTGAGTTTCTGGAAAGGGCTTTTGCTCACCTCCAGGTCACCTCTCCGGTGGCTCTCCATCCTCCCCCAGTACTGCATCTCCCTGCCTCAGGCACTGGGTTGGAAAGGTAGGTTAGGGGCAGGTTCAGGGGCACCAGGCCACGTGCTCCCCCTGCATCCTCCCTGGCGTCTCCCTCCCACGCTCAGGCCCTGCCACATGGACATCTGGGCACTGAGAGCTGTGTCCGGGTGGTTTATATTTTGCAGGCAACCAGGGTGATCTGGGAGACTCTGCAGACGTTCTGGTTTGCAGAGTCATTGACGGAGTACTCCCCCCGTCTCCTCGTGGCTCTGCTCTTCCAAGTCCTCATCAGCACAGAGCAGACACCAGAGGAGGTTGATACCTTCTGGAGGGGATGCTGGGAGCAACACAACCTTCCCACTCAGCCCAACAGGTGCTCCATCCCAGTCCTCCCCTGCCTTCTGTGCCCTTGGGGCTGGTCAGGGCTCCCAGCACGACCTGGGCTTTGCTCTGTACACAGGTTTGCAGTGCTCACCATGAAGGCTCTGCTTTGCCATCTGGAGTGTGAGGAAGTTGTGCTTTCAATGGAACGCAAGTGTGGCTGGGACACGCTCCTCAGTGCTGACACCCACCACTACGCAGTGGGTCTGCTGGCCAGGTGAGACCCCCTTGTCCCCACTGCCCCTGTCACTTCTGCCTGTGCACGGGGCACCCCACTCAGTGCCCGTGGTCGTGGGCCAGAGGGCCTTGTCACCCAGGGATGGCCGAGCAGAGTGGCAAAGGCTGGGAGAGGCGGGTGCACAGGAGGAGCCGCCTCCCAGAGTGCCCTTGTCCTGGGGAAAGACCAGGCCTATGTGAGTCCATCCCAGGAGAGGTTGGCCCACCCGGCTCAGGGTCAATGGGTGCCTTTTTCCCCCTCGCAGGGAGATGCTCCGTGTCTCCAACCCCTTGTGTTCCCGCATCACACTCCACCTGCTGGAGCTGCTGAGCAGGGAGGAGCCCCACTTGGAGCTCCTCACCATGGCATTCCTTGTGGAGGTGAGCCTGATGGCGAGCGCTGCCTAGCCAAGCTGCCTCCACCTCTCTGCCCTCTTGGAGGGCCCAGCCCTGTGTGGGTCTGGGCTCCTGCCAGCCAGGCACCCCGTCACTGCTCCATGCCTTTCAGGTCCTGGACTACCTGGACATGAGTGACTGGGGAGGCATCATTCTGCAGAGCCTTTCAAGGCACCTCAGGAGTGAGTGCCCAGAGATGCGTCGCCTGGCACTCCGAGGCCTCCTGGTACTCAGCCAGGATCCCATGATGGTGAGAAGGGGCAGATGGCTGAAGCCATGCTGGAATCCTGGGGCTGGGGAACGCAGTTGCTTGGGCTTGGCTGGGCTTTGGGAGCTGTGGCAGCTGCACCCATCTCTGCTGCCTCCCCGCTCAGCTGCCCGAGTCCCTCAGGAACAGCCTGTGGCCTCCGGGCCCCACGGCAGCACGTGGGGCTGCCCTGCCAGAGCAGGGTTGGGGCTGCAGCCGTTCATGGCTTCACAGCACAGCACTGTCTTCCTCACAGGCTCATGGCATGCAGAGCCTGACAGAAAGCCTCCTGGAGCTACTGTGGGATGCAGATGGAGAGCTGGTGGGGATGGCCCTCTCTGTATTCATCAATGAAGTCCAGGACAGAGGCATCCCAATCTCCACCCCCACTGCCCTGGAGCTGGCTGAGGCACTCCAGACACTCTTTGGC